TCTATGAGTCTATGAGTCTATGAGCCATTGGGACCAGCTATTGCACTTGCCAGAAAAGTTATGGAGCAGTGCACTCTACTGACCGGTGAGCATGCTGCAGTGATTAAAGGTATGTCTACACTTCCATCGAGCTCGCATGCTAACAATAGAGGGTAGCCAAGCAGGTGCGAGTGGTGGGATGGAACTGGGCCTGGAAACCAGTGTGTAGAAGTAGGGTGGGGAGATGGATCTGTCCAGGCAACAGGGTGCAGGGGGAAAATGGGACTGGCCCGGATAAGGAGACTGGGTCAAGGGGCTGGTCTGGGGGGACAACAGTGAGATTGGACTAAGTATCTGGGGAGGGACACTAGGACTGGGACTCAGTGGGACTGGGGAATGTTGGGGGGCTGGCAGTGGGCACAGCTGGAAACTAAGAGGTGAGGAGAGAGACAAATGGAATGAGGAACCAAGATGCAGGGGAACTGGGACTGGCTGGGTATGGAGACCAGGATTGGGAGGGGAGGATTTGGTGCAGGGGTAGACTGGGACTGGCTGGGAAAGGAGACTGGGACTGGAATGAGACACGTGAGGCGTTCTGATTGGGAGTGTGAGAAGATCCAGGGATCGGAAGAAACTGCTCTGGGACAGGGACAAGTTGTGATTGTGTGGGGATAAGGCTGAAAGAGTTAAGCTTGGGTATGAGCACACAGAAGAGTCTTTGCCCACTAGTGGACACTCCCCTCCAGAGCCTGGAATGGGAGCCAGGATTCCAGCTCTTCTGAGTCCCCACCCAGCACCTGGCCAGGTTTGGTTCCGTCAGTTCTGCATGACTCCGTAGGCGTGGACGAGTGTCTCGGCAGGAAATCTTGCCCTTGCCAGGCCACTCACACCATGACCTTTGGAGTTACTTTATGCTTGCAACGATGGCCATGCATTGAACTCTGGAGTCAAGATCTTTACTGACAGCAACGTAACCAGAACCCTTCAAAATTATTTCTTGCTGCTGCTGATGGTGGACATGGATTTTAAGACAAAATGGTGACCCTAGCAGGGGATTAGTCTGTTTCTGGACTAAAACTCACTGTAGCCTGTCCACAGGATCAGAACCTCCCTACCCCCAAGTCCCAACCTTCAATCTTACTGTGAAATTCCCCAGGGTGCAACCTGAACTTCTGTGTCCCCTTAACCCCCAACCTGGGGTTCATTTTATGCTCCTTTTCTGTCAGACCAGCCAGTCCTGGCCTGCTCATGCACAGATACTAGTCTGCAAAATCACTCCCAGATGTTTATATGAATGCTGTCCCAGCCAGGCATGGATAGATACACCGCGACACCCACATATCCCCACTCCCAGCCTGGGCTCCCCCGAAATGTGCATCTGATACTGCTCAGTAGAGCCTTGACATTATAAGAGGATAGATAGTCCGACATTCCAACAACGGGTAATGTTTCTGCCCCAGCCTTTGTTATCTCAAGTAGAGGTTTCCCAAACACACTGGTGTAGATAAAACAATAAAACACGTTTATTAATGAGAGATGAAAGGTACAAAAGTCAGAATTGGTTACTAAAGAAATAAAAAGAGAAAACCTCAAGCTAATTCCAAAACATTACCAAGCTTAATAAGATTTGAAGCCAACATCCTTCTCACCACACCAGGCAGTTCTCAGTTTATAGGCTGGATTTCATTTATTCTGGGACTACTCCCCTTAATTCACTGTTTTTTAAGGATTTATTGATGTTAAAAGCAGAGAGAGATAAGGTAGACAGGAGAGGTGGGTACAGGCATTTTTGCCCCCCTTCTTACACTCCAATCCTTGTGTGCTGGAAATACCCTTGCTGGGTCCTGTGGGGAGGCAGTATGTGAGCACCAAACTGTCTTTCAGCTGACTTGTATATTTTCTGTTTAGAACTTCTCAGTTGGTGAGTTTCTGGTTAACCAGGGAATGATTGTTTAACACGTGGCTGGCTTGCCAGTGTGTTCTTGTCTCTGAGGAACTGGCTTAAGATTACTACACAGTAGTTACAACATATTTCAGTAATAATCATGCAGCACAATCTCATAATTTCACATGCAGTGTTTGTTAAACACATTTCAGAAGATAATAATAATCAGCAGATTATGAGTTTCCAAATGATACCTCACAGGGCATAGTTTGTGCAAAATAGATTATAGCCATATAAAAGTGGTGAATATGGGCTACAGGGTGTCACAGCTACCCTTCCCACGTCCTCCTGTTTCCCTGGCTTCAGGGGAGAGGGATGGAGGCCTTTTATTGATCCTTTGCCTGATATTTCGAGAAGAGAGGCCAGCTGCCTTGGTCCTCCCACCTCAGCCACCTATTAGGTCCACACTTTCTCACTCGCTGCATTGTTAACAAGGTTAATGAATGAAAGTGAACCACATTGAAGAAGTCAATCAAAAGGTGCAAAGGGTTATCCGCTGCTCTCTTTCAATGACATGGTTCTTTCTTCCTTTCACAGTTGACAGGTGTCAGAATTCATCTACTTGTCCTGCTTTTGCAACCTGTGAAAATGTTTCTGGGGGCTACCACTGGACCTGCAAACGTGGGTTTGCAGCTACTTCTGGGGAGCAAAACTTCACTGATCCAACAGTGAAATGTGTCGGTGAGTATCAGCTCCAGAGCACTGGTTTAGATAAAACAATAAAACACGTTTATTAATCGTGAGTATCGGCTCCGGAGCCCAACTAAGTGAGAGGGAATTCTGTAATGTGTTGAGTGTAATGTAGGTTGCTCTAATGCCATTGGACCAGTTCTTGCACTTGCCAGAAAAGTTATGGAGCAGTGTACTCTACTGACTGGTGAGCATGCTGCAATGATTAAGGGTACGTCTACACTTCCATCGAGCTAGCATGCTAACAATAGAGGGTAGTCAAGCAGGTGGCAGTGGTAGGATGGAACTTGGCCTGGAAATGTGTGTGTGGAAGGAGGGTGGGGAGACAGATCTCTCCAGGCAACAGGGGGAAGATGGGACTGGCCAGATAAAGAGACTGGGTCAAGGGGCTGGTCTGGGGGAACAACAGTGAGATTGGACTAAGTATCTGGGGAGGGACATTGGGACTGGGACTCAGTGGGACTGGGGAATGTTGGGGGGCTGGGAGTGGGCAAACCTGGAAACTAAGAGGGGAGGAGAGAGACAAATGGAATGAGGAACCAGGATGCCGGGGAAGTGGGACTGGCTGGGTAAGAAGACCAGGACTGGGAGGGGAGGATTTGGTGCAGGGGTAGACTGGGACTGGCTGGGAAAGGAGACTGGGACTGGAATGAGACATGTGAGGCATTCTGATTGGGAGTGGGACAAGAGCCAGGCATTGGAAAAAACTGCTCTGGGACAGGGACAAGTTGTGAGTGTGTGGGGATAAGGGTGAAGGAGTCAAGCTTGGGTATGAGCACACAGACGAGTCTGTGCCCACTAGTGGACACTCCCCTCCAGAGCCTGGAATGGGAGCCAAGATTCCAGCGCTTCTGAGTCCCCACCCAGCTCGTGGCCAGGCTTGGTTCCCTCATTTCTGCATGACTCCCTAGGCGTGGATGAGTGTCTCAGCAGGAAATCTTGCCCTTGCCAGGCCACTCACACCATGACCTTTGGAGTTACTTTATTCTTGCAACGACGGCCATGCATTGAGCTCTGGAGTCAAGATCTTTACTGACAGCAACGTAACTAGAACCCTTCAAAATTATTTCTTGTTGCTGCTGGTGGTGGACATGGCTTATAAGACAAAATGGTGACCCTAGCAGGGGATTAATCTCTTTCTGGACTAAAACTCACTGTAGCCTGTCCATAGGATCAGAACCTCCCTACCCCCAAATCCCATCCTTCAATCTTACTGTGAAATTCCCCAGGGGGCAACCTGAACTTCTGTGTCCCCTTAACCCCCTAAACTGGGGTTCCTTTTATGCTCCTTTTCTGTCAGACCAGCCAGTCCTGGCCTGCTCATGCACAGATACTAGTCTGCAAAATCACTCCCAGATGTTTATATGAATGCTGTCCCAGCCATGCATGGATAGACACACCGCGACACCCTCATATCCCCACTCCCAGCCTGGGCTCCCCCGAAATGTGCATCTGATACTGCTCAGTAGAGCCTTGACATTATAAGAGGATAGATAGTCCGACATTCCAACAACGGGTAATGTTTCTGCCCCAGCTTTTGTTATCTCAAGTAGAGGTTTCCCAAACACACTGGTGTAGATAAAACAATAAAACACGTTTATTAATGAGAGATGAAAGGTACAAAAGTCAGAATTGGTTACAAAAGAAATAAAAAGAGAAAACCTGAAGCTAATTCCAAAACATTACCAAGATTAATAAGATTTGAAGCCAACATCCTTCTCACCACACCAGATGCTGCAGGCAGTTCTCAGTTCACAGGCTGGATTTCCTTTCATTCTTGGACCACTCCCCTTAGTTCAGTGTTTTTCAAAGATTCACTGAGGTAATAAGCAGAGGGAGATAAGGTAGACAGGAGAGGTGGGTACAGGTATGTTTGCCCCCCTTCTTACACCCCAATCCTTGGGTGCTGGAAATACCCTTGCTGGGTCCTGTGGGGGGGCAGTATGTGAGCGCCAAACTGTCTTTCAGCTGATTTGTACATTTCGCGTTGAGAACTCCCCAGTTGGTGAATCTCCCATTAACCAGGGGATGACTCTGTAGCCTGTTGCTGACATGCCAGTGTGTTCCTGTCTCTGAGGAACTGACTTATGAGGACTACCGAGGAATTACAACACATTTCAGTAATAATCATACAGCACAATCTCATAAGTTCACCTGCAGTGTTTCTTACACACATTTCAGAAGATAATAATATTCATCACATGATGGTTTCAAAATGCTACCTCATAGGGCATAGTTTGTACAAAATAGATCATAGCCATATAGAAGTGGTGAATATGGGCTACAGGGTGTCACAGCTACCCTTCCCACGTCCTCCTGTTTCCCTGGATTCACAGGAGAGGGATGGAGGCCTTTTCTTGATCCTTTCCCTGATGTCTCGAGAAGAGAGGCCAGCTGCCTTGGTCCTCCCACCTCGTCCACCGGCTCTGTTAGGTCCACATTTTCTCCCTCACTGAATTGTTAACAAGGTTAACGAATGAAAGTGAACCACATTGAAGAAGTCAAAGAAAAGGTGCAAAGTGTTATCGATTGCTCTCTTTCAATGACATGGTTCCTTCTTCCTTTCACAGCTGACAGGTGTCGGAATTTGTCTACTTGTCCTGCTTCTGCAACCTGTGAAAACGTTCCCGGAGGCTACCACTGCACCTGCAATCGCGGGTTTGCATCTAGTTCTGGGGAGCAAAACTTCACTGATCCAACAGTGAAATGTGTCGGTGAGTATCACCTCCAGAGCACTGGCAAGTGAGCGGGAGCTCTGTAATGGGTCGACTGTAATGTAGGTTGCTGTAATGACATTGGGACCAGCTCTTGCACTTGCCAGAAGAGTTATGGAGCAGTGCACTCTACTGACTGGTGAGCATGCTGCAGTGATTAAGGGTACGTCTACACTTCCATCGAGCTAGCATGCTAACAATAGAGGGTAACCAAGCAGGTGCGAGTGGTAGGATGGAACTGGGCCTGGAAACCAGTGTGTGGAAGTAGGGTGGGGAGATGGATCTGTCCAGGCAACAGGGTGCAGGGGGAAAATGGGACTGGCCAGATAAAGAGATTGGGTCAAGGGACTGGTCTGGGGGAACAACAGTGAGATTGGACTAAGTATCTGGGGAGGGACACTGGGACTGGGACTCAGTGGGACTGGGGAATGTTGGGGGGCTGGCAGTGGGCAAACCTGGAAACTAAGAGGGGAGGAGAGAGACAAATGGAATGAGGAGCCAGGATGCAGGGGAACTGGGACTGGCTGGGAAAGGAGACCAGGACTGTTACGGGAGGATTTGGTGCAGGGGAAGACTGGGACTGGCTGGGAAAGGAGACTGGGACTGGAATGAGACATGTGAGGTGTTCTGATTGGGAGTGGGACAAGAGCCAGGGATGGGAAGAAACTGCAGTGGGACAGGGACAAGTTGTGTGTGGGGGGGATAAGGCTGAAGGAGGCAAGCTTGTGCATGAACGATTACGCAGATGAGTCTGTGCCCACTGGTGGACACTCCTCTCCAGGGCCTGGAATGGGAGCCAAGATTCCAGCGCTTCTGAGTCCCCACCCAGCACCTGGCCGGGCTTGGTTCCGTCAGTTCTGCATGACTCCCTAGGCATGGATGAGTGTCTCAGCAGGAAATCTTGCCCTTGCCAGGCCACTCACACCATGACCTTTGGGCTCCTTAAACCAATCCCTTTAGCTTTAGCATCAGCTCTGCTGTCGACTGGACTTTGCTGGGGCTCATTTCTCTGCCCAGAAGTATAATGATGTTTTGATCCCCTCACAAAGAGATATGATCTTTATAAGAGAGGCTGCAATGTTGGCTCCCTCCTTCCTTCCCTAGAAAATCTCTTCCGCTGCCAGCCCAGGATTCTGCAAGGAGATGATTTCAAAAGCCAGTGCGGCAACATGATGCAGCACGTATGTGTCGAGTGATTCCCAATTGGGTCATCTTCGTGTGCAGGGCAGGAGGGAAAAAGGGAGGGAATGGAATTGAGGGGTGTGTGTGTAGAGTTTGTGTAGTGCATTCAGACAGCGTGCGTGCTGCTTCTGGGTTGGGTAGTATGGATGAACAGGGAGGATGGATGGACTAGAGCTGGTACCTAGAGAAGTGTGGAGATGGAGAAGATGGGTGGATAGAGAAATAGCCAGAGCTAGATATAGAGGAGGGATTGAAAGATACAGTGGGTTAAGAGGGCCACAACAGTTGGATGGACATGGATAGGTATGTTATAGCATTAACTCCTTTTCCCATGATTCCCCTACAGGGAAACCAGAAAAGCAATAGATTTTGCACCATCCTGAATCAGACCTCAAAGACCCTGGAATCTGCATGTGGCAATGGAAACCAGTCAGTACCGCCGAAGGTCAGAGGCTGTGCGCCTGTATTTGCCAGTCCCTGCCCTCCAAGGCAAAGTCCCTCCTCTTGGTCCCCAGCTGCTGCCACTGGTCTCCAGATACTTCCTTCCAAAGATGAACCTTGGGGGGAGTCTTTAAAAGCAGCTGAAAACAAGGTTTAGTTGCCTCTACTCTAGAAGAGTAGACTGGAGCCAACACCGAGTTTAATTTCAGCTGCCAGCCAAGAGTGGGTGATGAATATCTTGGGGCAAAGGGAACGAGGCAGTATCTTGTTGGGATCCAGTACCTGGGTGGCATGGGAGCCATGTGGAGCAGAGGGCCAGACTATAAGAAGCACGTGGAGGGGGAGGGAACCCTAAAAGCCTGCCGAAAATCACCCATCCATGTAAGCAGTTGTAGCTGTCCTGGGATGTTCCATGATGGTGAATGGGGAGGAAAAGTGGTGGATCCATGGGACCATCTCTCCGTTAACCGGTGGACCACTGTTTGACAGCCCCTGATTTACCCTGGGCATCTTCTTTTTAAACCCCAGGAAGTCTTCACTTCTCTCGATTCGCTTTTCCATGCCACTGCCCAGCAGTCTACTGGGAGCAAGGAGGAGGTCGCGTGGGCAGCCACTGCCTTTGTGCAGCGTGCAGAACTGGCCGCCTTGGAAGCTGCTTGGAACGGTTCCGAGAACGAGCCGCAGACTATCACAGCCGAGACGATGAGTAAGAAAAAGGAAAAACCTCCGCACAGCTCTGATTGCCACCCTAGCTGCTCTCGGCGATGAAGGGTGGCCTCGGGGCTAGGGTGCTGGGCTAAAGCATAAGAGCGTTGAGTGCCATTCCTGCCTGCTTGCTCGCTTGGTGCTTATGTTTTCCATGTAAATGGGGACACGACCCCTTTCTGCAGTTTGGGGCAGGAGTGGTTTATTGCTGCATTTGCCTATGGTGCCCAGCACTATGGGGCTCTGATCTCGGCTAGTAGCAGGATTGTGGTAGTGCCTATGAACCGCAGTCATGATGGAGCAGGGCCCCATTGTGTTAGGTGCAAGGCACAAAGGACATAAAGACAATCCGGGCTCCTAATTCTTCTCTCGGCTCTGCTGGTTTTACCGCAGCCTTGCTCCCTGTCGCCACGGGAGTGGGAGGAGAATCAGGCTCTGTGCTAAATGGAGGGTAGTTTTCAAAGCCGCGCAGTGAAAAACTTGTCCTTCCGCCCCCAGCCATCGCAGCCCTGCGGGTTACGGATAACTGCAGTCGGGCAGGGAAGATGATCGAACTGAACGCTGAAAACGAGTTGATGAGCATTGACTGCACGACAGTGGTTGGCGCCAGCGAAGCAGGTACCATCCGGGAGTTGTCTGGACAGGCAACGGAAGGAATCCAACCTCTCCAACCCATTCCACAGCTCCAGCTCTGAGGCCAGATCTTCCAGGGCTGCAGAGGGACCTTAGAGCAGCCCTGACAGACTCCCTAGGGGGTCTTGGGTTGCTTTACACCGACCCTCTGTGCAGTGCTTAATCTGTAATGAAAGTGGGGTTGGGAGTCAAGTAATTAGGTGCCAGGACTCGAGCAACATTTTTACTTTCATAAATGACGCAGGAAACCCGGAAATGCCGGGGCTATGAACTGCCAAGCCTAGAGGTATTGGGGCTTCCCTTGTGCAGAGGGCACGTCAGGGCTGGAGGCTTCAGACAGAGCAGGACGGGGGTGGATTATCCAGTACTAGCGGCAGATGGGCCCCTAGGAGGAAGTGTTATTCGTTGGCCAGTGCAGGGAGTAAGGAGTCCTGGGGTCTAGTCCCAATTTTGCCACTGACACTCTGCACGAACGTGGGGAAGCCGTTCCATCTCTCCGTACCTGTGTCCTTCTCATCGCTGGTTCGGCTGCGCCCCCCAGCCAGGAGCTCTTCCAGCTCCTTGCGGTGTGACACAGGACACAGGCTGTTCTGGTGTCACCTCTTGCATCTTTGCTCCTGCAGGCTCCGGAGTCGTTGCCTTCATCTCGTATGCCACTCTCGAGTCCATCCTGAACAATAACTTTATCGACCAGCAAAACCTGACAGGGGAAGACAACCTGGTTAACATTACGCTGAATTCCAAGGTAGTGAGTGGGACCATTGGGAAACCCGGACCTCTCCCCAAACCTTTCTACTTCACCCTGGAGCATAAACAGGTGATTGGCAATCATGTCTCTGCTTGAAATGGAAGAGGGACCCCTCTTGGCCAGGAGCTTTTCCCAACTGTCCTCTCTCTGTGCTTCTGTTGTCAACACTGCCATCCTCTTCCAGTTGGCCTCACTAACGAAGGTCATCTTCAACTCCTTCTGGCGCCTTCCCTACCCCCAAGATGAGTTCAAATCTTGATGCTTCTTCTTCCCCAAAAATCTGGCTTTTCCTCTCTGCCCTCGCCATGGTTCTGGACACCTTCCACCTTTCTACTGCAGCCTCCTCTCTGGGCCCCCAGTACCCATAATGCCTCCCTTCAGTCCTGCTAAAATGATCTTCCTTGCCCATCAGTACCACAGATGCCCTATAATTTGAATCTTTCCACTGGCTCTTCCTTCTCCACCACATCAAGTTTAAATGAGGAGGCAATTCAACTTAAAATTGATAATGGCTGAATGCTAAGGGTTCCCCAATACCCACCCTAAAGCCTTCAAAAATCATTGAAATTCCCAGGTGAACTTGTAAACCCCAATACCTTGTACCAGTGGGGCATCGGCTTGGATGCCTGACTCTGCTCTCGTTTACCCCAATCCAGATCAATGGACTTATACTGGTGTGAAACCTATATCCATTATTATAGTGCACGTAGAGGCACACTGAGATCAGAGTCTGATTGTACCAAGCACTGCACAAACACATGGGCCCCGTCCCAAAGAAGAGAGACAAAGGGTAGGAGGGAAACAGAGGCACAGAGACTTCTCATGAGATTGCACATCAGAGCTAGGAATACAATCCCAGTCCCCTGAGTCCCAACCCAGTGCTCTGTCTGACAAGCTCTAGCTCCTCTTTGGTTTTGTTTGGGCTAAACTAGCCCTTAGCTCCATAAAGGAGGAGGCTGACGCTGGTGCTGCAATGTCTGTTTCCAGAGAAAGGAAATGGAAGACAAGATTATCTGTGTTTTCTGGAAGCTCACTGGCACCTGGTCTACTGAGGGCTGCACTCTTCTCCGTGCGAACAGCACTCACACCACCTGCACCTGTACTCACCTGTCCAGCTTTGCCATCCTGATGGCTTCACATGCTATCAAGGTATTTCAGCCGTCGGCTTAAGCTCATGGTCCATGTGTAACAAGCTAGGGTTGCATTTGCACAGATGCTGCGGCTGTTTGCAAGAACAAACCAGAGCCCTTCGACACCCAAAACGCAGGCGTCCACCACTTACGCGAAAGGAGTAATGCCTTTGGCTGTAAATATAGTTAGAATGGCTGGAGCCAGCCAGTAGGAAAGTCATGATCATGTGCACTTGGTCAGCATGTTAGATGTCAGATAGGTGGCACGGGGCATGAGTCAGCCGTGTATTTGTTCCAATTAGTTTACAGTCATTACGAGATCCAGAGATCATCTCAGGGCTGCAAACTCAACACACGTGTTGCTCCTCTGAGTTATCTATTGAAAGGGGGGAGGGATAGCTCAGTGGTTTGAGCATTGGCCTGTTAAACCCAGGCTTGTGAGTTCAATCCTTGAGAGGGCCACTTAGGGATCTGTGGCAAAATCAGTACTTGGTCCTGCTGGTGAAGGCAGGGGGTTGGACTCAGTGACTTTTCAAGGTCTGTTCTAGGAGATAGGATATCTCTATTAATTTATTTATTTTAGTTTTATTTTTATTTAAAGGGGCAGGGAGGAGATGGGTCCTCCATGTTCTCCAACAACGGAGCTAGAGATCTGATTGCCTTGGGAAATTATCCGGTTATTTCAAAGCCCCTGTTTCTCCAGCATGATTTCCAAACTTTACATTTCCTTTAATTTTTCCTTTTGCAGGAGAGTTACCCACTGACCATCATCACCTACGTGGGACTGACCCTCTCCCTGCTATGCCTCTTCCTCGCCATCCTCACCTTCCTCCTGTGCCGCTCCATCCGCAACGTCAGCACCTCCCTCCACCTGCAGCTCTGCCTCTGCCTCTTCCTGGCCGACCTGCTCTTCCTCACCGCAATGAACAGCGTCACCAATAAGGTAGAGAAATCAGCCAAATCCACCCCCCCGTTATCTATCCTGTCTATTTAGATCGTAAGTTCTTCAAAGATAGGTCTCCACTGCAGCTGGGGCGGGGGGTGGCTCCCAGAGCAGTGCGGCCTCAGACGTGATTGCACTTGGGTGGCTAGCCTGGGCTGCTGCCTGGGGACTCATGCTCACAGCTGCAGTGTAGACACACTCTTACTGGGTGTTTGTACAGCGCTGAGCACGACGGGTCCTTGAACTTGTATGGGGCCCCTAAGTGATCCTGTAATGAAATAATGAGGGGGAATGGGGCACATATGGAGCCCTTAACATGGGGGGAAGAGGAAGCAAGCGGGGGGTGGGGCGACAGAGACCTACCAGGGGAGGATGGGGGGACAGTGAATAAGGGACAATGGCATGTGGAGAGAAGACATTGGGAGGGGGGAGGGACACAGCCCTGGTATGGGGGGGAAGAGGAAGCATGGGGGACCACAGAGAGACCCTACCAAGGGATGATGAATGCAGGACAATTGTATGTTCCCGCCAACCCCAACCCCACCACTGTCGTCATCTCCTGGCATGAGTCCAGGCATGTGGGGACTTGCAGGGGGTCCTTGAGGAAGAGGAGAATCGGAGGACGGCACAGAGAGCTTGTGGGGGGAGGGATGGATGGAGGAATACAAGGAACATGCATGCAATACATACAGACTGCAAACTGCGACCTGTGTGATGCACTGATAATCAAGGTGGGTTGGTTTTGCCCTTGGGCCCCTTCACATGCCTGGTATCACAATGCCCAGAATAAATTCAGTGGTCTGGATTCTGAACTTGCTCACACTGCTTTCACACCACTGGCCTCAGTGGAGGTTCCCCAGATTTACACCAGCAGCAGTAAAATCAGAATCAGGCTCCAGAGTTTAATTATCATAGAATCATAGAATATCAGGGTTGAAAGGGACCTCAGGAGGTCATCTAGTCCAACTCCCTGCTCAAAGCAGGACCAATCCCCAACTAAATCATCCCAGCCAGAGCTTTGTCAAGTCTGACCTTAACCTCTAAGGAAGGAGATTCCACCACCTCCCTAGGTAACCCATTCCAGTGCTTCACCAGCCTCCTAGTGAAAAAGTTTTTCCTAATATCCAACCTAAACCTCCCCCACTGCAACTTAAGACCATTACTCCTGGTTCTGTCATCTGGTACCACTGAGAACAGTCTAGATCCATCCTCTTTGGAATCCCCCTTTCAGGTAGTTGAAAGCAGCTATCAAATCCCCCCTCATTCTTCTCTTTTGCAGACTAAATAATCCCAGTTCCTTCAGCCTCTCCTCATATGTCATGTGCTCCAGCCCCCTAATCATTTTTGTTGCCCTCCGCTGGACTCTTTCCAATTTTTCCACATCCTTCTTGTAGTGTGGGGCCCAAAACTGGACACAGTACTCCAGATGAGGCCTCACCAATGCCGAATAGAGGGGAATGATCATGTCCCTCAATCTGCTGGCAATGTCCCTACTTATACAGCCCAAAATGCTGTTAGCCTTCTTGGCAACAAAGGCACACTGTTTACTCACATCCAGCTTCTCGTCCACTGTAACCCCTAGGTCCTTTTCTGCAGAACTGCTGCCTAGCCGCTCAGTCCCTAGTCTGTAACAGTGAATGGGATTCTTCCGTCCTAAATGCAGGACTCTGCACTTGTTCTTGTTGAACCTCATCAGATTTCTTTTGGCCCAATTCTCTAATTTGTTTAGGTCCCTCTGTATCCTATCCCTACCCTCCAGCGTATCTACCACTCCTCCCAGTTTAGTGTCATCTGAAAACTTGCTGAGAGTGCAGTCCACGCCATCCTCCAGCTCATTAATGAAGATATTGAAGAAAACCGGCCCCAGGACTGACTCTTGGGGCACTCCGCTTGAAACCCTTGGCCTCAGCTCCCCAGTCATAGGAGGAACCCTGGACTGAGCGACTTAGGGTATCAACTTCACAACCACAAACAGCTGAAAATGCGCATTTGCGCCGATGCAGCTTTCCCAAGGTTAAAAAATGTACTTGGCCTACATGTGGAATACATATAACTGTCAATATGAGCTGGCTCAGAGAGTGAGGACAGTGCATATGTTTCAGTCTGTGTGTTTTCTTGGTTTACTCCTCGCCCTGAGTTCTTGCCAGAAAAAAAAAAATTGTGACCTAGTATCTGGTGTGAGTGAAACAGCGCTGCCCTCTATTGGATGGGGTCAGAACTGCCTCAACTATTATAGTCGTTTATTTGCATTATAGTAGCCAACGAGACCCAACTGAAATCAGAGCTCCATTGTGCTGGGCACTGCACATAGAGGAAGAGACAATTGCTATCCTGAAGAGCTTATGGTCTAAGCAGATGAGACAATGGGTGGGGGACAGAATTCCATTATCCCCATTTTACAGATGGGGATGTGAGGCACAGGGAGATTAATTGACTTGCCCAAGGTCACACGTGAAGTTGGTGGCAGGGTTGGGAACTGAACTCAGAGCAGCCTGTCTCAATACGTGTCATAAGCCCTATATTGTCACCCACTAATGGAGATTCTCTTTTAGTTTGAGGTAGGAGCTAGTGCTTTTGGACCAGGAGGATCTGAGTTCTACCCCTCGTGCTGTGATGAAGTTGAATGGCCACAGTATGCAGTGTGTAGTCCCAGATGTCCTAGGGGTTTGTTAAATATTTCACAGGCCTTGTTGCCATTTTCTCCCCAGTTTGGAGGGGACACATCAAATAACTAACACTTCCCCTATCTCGGACAGCTAGATGTTCAGAGTCCCTGAGCTCTCTGTCTCCCCCAGGTGGCGTGTGCTGTCATTGCTGGCCTCCTACACTACCTCTTCTTGGCCTGTTTCACCTGGATGTTCCTGGAGGGGCTGCACCTCTTCCTCACCGTCAGGAACCTGAAGGTCGTGAATTACACCAGCGCCAGCCGGTTCAAGAGGAGATTCATGTACCCGTTCGGCTACGGCTTCCCAGCCCTGGTGGTGGCTATTTCTGCAGCGGTGAATCACAAAGGCTACGGAACTTCCAAACAGTACGTGCAGAGCCCATCCCAGAGGGAGAACAGATATCTCATTGCCCACTCAATTCATTGGCTGAATTACAGAGAAACAATATATTCTATAATCCCCGTTTCTTCACATGTTTCACACAACGCACAGTCAACCTGTGGAACTCCTTTCCAGAGGATATTGTGAAGGCCACGACTATAACAGGGTCCAAAAAAGAACTAGATACATTCATGGAGGATAGGTCCATCGATGACTGTTAGCCAGGATGGGCAGGGATGGTGTCCCTAGCCTCTGTTTGCCAGAAGTTGGCAATGGGCCATAGAGGATGGATCAATTGTTGATTCCCTGTTCTGTTTATTCCCTCTGGGACACCTGGCATTGGTCACTGTCAGAAGACAGGATACTGGGCTAGATGGACCTTTGGTCTGACCCAGTATGGCCATTGTTATGTTCTTAAAAGACTAATTTCTGCAATCTACATCCATGAGACTGTCATAAAGGGAAGCAGGCAGCGTTCATCCTGCATCTCCCACCCCACCCAGATACCAATTCTGACAACCAAAAGGAGAGAATTCACTTCATTTTAATGCCAGGGATAATTTGTTACCCTTTTTTCTTCTTGCCTTTTAGCTGCTGGCTCACAATAGAGGGAGGCTTTGTCTGGAGTTTCCTTGGACCGGTCTGCCTTATTATTGTGGTGGGTATATTCCTTTTCTTCTCCTCTCTTCAACGGATAATGGGAAAGGATGAATTATGTGTATGTCGCAGGGAAAGGACTTTGATAGTGAGATGAGTCAGACATTGGGACGTTTGCTTAAGGAGTGAGTTGTGGCCTAGCTACCGTGGATTTACTCTCTGGAAAGTGACAGGGTAACAATGTCACTTTCTTTATTTGTATTACAGTAAATTCATAAATAATAAATCACACACAATTTGTTTCCAATGGAGTGGAACAAATTTATACCAAATGCTGGGATTTGTCAGAGTTCAGCACCTCCTTAGCTCCAAAGTTATCCAGAAGAGAAGACGGAAATATCTGGGCTAGGTGTGGCGAATGAAACAGACCTTCGGCTATGGGAAGTGTGAAACTGGACAGCCGGAAGAACATGGACAAGAGGGCAGCTGAAAGAATCCTTCCATGATCCAACAATACATGGAGAGGGAAAGTTTATGGAATGTAACACAGAGGACAAACAGAGCAGCTCAGAACAGAGAGGGATGGTGGAGCCTTATCTGTGCCCTAAGTGATGTCTTGTGGTGCAGGAAGGATTCAGATGACAGTCGCAGCTGGGGGCTCCTATCTGGGGTCAAAGTACCATTGTGCTAGGCACTGTGAATACATGAAGAATTTTAACAAGATTCCAAAAGAAATTGGGCATTTATATGGGTAGCAAGAATAATATCCAGAGTTGTTCTAATCAGGGCTAACAAAAGTTCTGGGAGGGATATTAAACCCCAGGCTTCATGATTTAAATCAAGATGTAACTACCAAAGAGCAAGGAGAACTAATATAGGGGGCAGATTATCCATGCCTCTGAAGAACTGGGTACTGGCCATGGTCAGAGGCAGAATACTGGACTAGATGGACCTGGGGTCTGATCCACTTGAGTTGTTGTGTTGTTTCCACAGATGAATTTAGCATTTTTTATCACAACCCTCTGGCTCCTGAGAGACAAAATCTCCTCCCTGAATACAGATGTCTCCACCCTCAAAAACACAAGGTAGGAAAGCACTAAACCTGCCTGAGAGGTCCAGTTAGTCTTCTGCAGGGGGGGTTGCTACAGGTGCTCTTGGCTCAATTAAACTGAGGAAATACCAGCGTGATACAGACTTGGTATCAGAAAATCATGGAGAACAGAACACTGAATACCTGGTCCTGCAAGCAGCTGAGAACCGTCAGTGCCTATTGACTTAGGTCAGAGATGAGGATACGCAGCACCTTTTAGGAGGTGCTGAGCATCTCATGGGATTGGGCCCCGATTTTGTATGCTGGCTTTTATGTAGCACTTTTCACCCACAGATCTCAGAGCGCTTCACGATCTTTAATGCATTGATCCTCCAACACCCCTGTGAGGCGGGACAGGGCTCTTATCCCCATTATACAGATGGGGAATTGAGGCACATAGAGGTTAAATGACAAGCCCAAGGTCACACAAAAAAATCTGTGGCAGAGCATAGAATTGAACCTGGGTCTCCCAAGTACTAGATTAGGGCACTAACCACTACATCATCCTTCCTCTTAAATCAAGGGAAGTTTCAATGTAAATAACAAATTGGGGGAATCCTTGTTCTGCATAACTGAAGTATAGATAATCAAGACTGCCTTGTACAGAGTTTTCTGTTCGCTCCTCCTGCATCTTCTCTTTTGGCTAGTGTAAGAACTCTTAGCCCTTTGAGGCTGGGTCTACACTACCCGCCTGAATCGGCGGGTAGAAATCGACCTCTCGGGTGGGAGTAAGCGCCGTCGATTTTGCCGCCGTCCCTACAGCGGGTTAAGTCGGCTGCGATACGTCGAATTAAATCGACCTCCCCTGTAGTGAAGACCTGCCCTCAGTCAAGCAGAAAGTTATAGATATCAGGAATGGACAAGATGTGTTAGATCATCCAGTCCCATTTTCCTCATTCAGTGCAGGATTCTCTCCTCCAGGAAGGACACTAGTTTGATGCTTTTTGCTATGCACAACTGAGACAGCATGAGGAAAACTGCACAGTGATTTCTTGGTATTGTGACAAAGTTCCTCCTCTACCTTGGTGGGTCCTGCGCTTATTGGTGGATTTGCTCGCCTCACAGATTCACCCTGTGGGTCAGGAAACAGCCCAGAGACCTTCCCTTCTGGTAGAAGCCACAGTCCAGGTCAGTTCCTCCTGTGTCTGATCAGGAGTTGGGAGGTTTGGGGGGAACCCAGGCCCACCCTCTACTCCGGGGTCCAGCCCAGGGCCCTGTGGATTGCAGCTGTCTAGAGTGCCTCCTGTAACAGCTGCATGACAGTTACAACTCCCTGGGCTACTTCCCCATGGCCTCCTCCCAACACCTTCTTTTCCTCACCACAGGACCTTTTTCCTGGTGTCTGATAATGCTTGTACTTCTCAATCCTCCAGCAATACGCCTTCCCACTCTCAGCTCCTAGTGCCTCTTGCTCCCAGCTCATCGCATGCACGCTACAAACTGAAGTGAGGTCCTTTTTAACTCAGGTGCTCTGATTAGCCAGCCTGTCCTAATTGATTTTAGCAGTTTTTTCTTAATTGGCTCCAGGTGTCCTAATTAGCCTGCCTGCCTTACTTGGTTCCAACAAGTTCCTGCTTGTTTTGGAACTACCCCTGTTTCCTTACCCAGGGAAAAGGGATCTACTTAATCTGGGACTAATATATCTGCCTTCTAAGACTCTCCTGTATCCATCCGGCCTGACCCTGTCACAGTACTTAGTTGCTAAATCTGTGTTTTCTGGAAGAGCTGGACATGTGGCCATGGTCGCTGGGATTTGTAACTGACAATGGTGAGAAAAGACCTAATTTGAGGAGGGTGGGCACAGCAATAAAAACACTTGCACTTAGCCAAAATCTTCTGTAACTGCCAACGTTTTATTATCACAATGACTAGTTTAAGTAAAGCAATTTAAATCGGTGAGATAGTATAACAGTGTGAGAGCGACCAGCCCCATTACTTGTATATACTACTTTATTTTGAGGGAGAGCCTTAAGGATTGAGACAGATTTTGGTTTCTCTTTGGCATGCCGATGAAGAATTTTAACGGTTGTTCCTGAGACTAGATGTTTTATAGGCCTCAAGGGCGGCTCCGGGCACCAGCGCCCCAAGCGCGTGCCTGGGGTGGCAAGCCACGGGGGGCGGCCTGCCGGTCACTCTGAGGGTGGCAGTCAGGCAGCCTTTGATGGCATGCCTGCGGGAGGTCCGCCAGTCCCGCAGCTTCAGCGGCAATTCGGCGATGGGTATGCCGAATCCGCGGGACAGGTGGACCTCCTGTAGACATGCCGCCGAATCCGCGTTACCAGCGGACCTCCCGCAGGCGTGCCGCCGAAGGCTGCCTGACTGCCGTGCTTGGGGCGGCAAAAAACATAGAGCCGCCCCGATAGGCCTTTGTATTTTTTATGCATATACGAATAGCTTTTTTTTAAACCATATTTTAAGGTTTTTACCTATATTGTTGGGGTGTTCTTATTCTATAGGTTAGTCTATTAACTTGGCTAAACTCAGTAACATACGTTAATTGGATTACTGTGGTTACCTGCAGTTAGGCATTTACTGATGTCCTCCTTTAAAAATACTTGAAACTGGTTTTTGTCTTTTTGCAGTTACCCATCAACAGTTTGCAACACAAGTGATTATTACAAAAGAAGAAACAAAAAGCCTTTTGCCATTTTGTGACTTATGATTATTGTTAGTTTACTGACTTATGCTAACGTATTGAGCAACTACTTCTACTTAGGCTGTAAGGCCTTGCATTTATGCTAACTGCTTAAGCTATTTTATAGGTGTTGGTCAACAGGTATTTTGTGTTTTTGCTACTCATTCCCTAGCCCTTTGCCCGTTATTCTTCCTATGTAACTATTATTACTGCACGGTTCTATACTCACTGCCTGCACTACAAAACGGATGTGAGGGGAAACAGAGGAAAATGGACGTGGTCAGTGTTACACCACAGGCCAGTGGCAGAGCTCGGAACAGACACAGGTTTAAGTCAGATGTTACAATGCTGGGTGCTATACAAATATCTATACGTGAATTAATCTTAGGTAAAATCTGTAACTCTGCTGAAAGCAAGGAAGTTTCACAAAGGCTGAATCTGCCTGGTATGGCAAAAGGCCGCTTTTGCTGTCAGCTGACTTTAGTATCTGGTTCTGCCAGTCTGCATTGTACTCTGACATGCTACAGCAATGGGCACGCAACAATCCCTTCAATCATTTAGCGACCTATTCCATATCATGAGTGTGGTGTAAGGACTAATGGACCAAATCTTTAATGGCAAGCCATGGTTTCTAGCGAATGTAGTGTTCTCCTTCAAGGGCTTTATTAGAGCGGTTTCCAAATCAATCAGAATGGGAAAGAAAGGATGATTCGGTGCTTAGGGTGCTGGTCTGGGATGTGGGAGACCTGGGTTCAACTCCCTGACCCAACACAGCCTTCCTGTGTGATGTTGGGCAAGTTACTTAATCTCGCTATGCCTTGGTTCTCCATCTGGAAAATGGGGATAAGGGCACCATCCTACCTCACAGAGTGGTTTTGAAGGTAAATAGCTTCAAGGTTGTAAGATGCACTTCAAGTACCAGGAATAAAAAGGGGGAGAAATACCTACCTGGAATTAGAGAACAGGTAAATCCTTCACTGGCCCACCCCCAGATGTGTGGTACTGATGGCCCGAGCCTGCTTGCAGCAAAATCAGGAAATGAACAAGATGCAGAAGGGGTGGCAAACTAGGGCCCGCTCCAAACTCAGTGAAGTCAATGTCAGTCTCTCTCTGTGCTTCGGAGCAGGCCCATAGAGAGTGAAGGGGATGGTAGAAGCCATTCTAACCTGGTTGGAATGGGGCCTGTTTGCAGAATCTCTATCTAGGACCATTACCCACCAGTGGTCCCTAGGGGAATTTTGCATAGTTGCTACTTGGAGGGTGTAAGCCGTCCTGCACAGAGCCCACTGACTTGGTCTCTCTGCATAGGGTTGTAATGGGCTCTCTCCATCTGCTTTACTCCAGGTTACTGACCTTTAAAGCCATCGCCCAGCTCTTCATTCTGGGCTGCACTTGGAGTCTTGGTCTCCTCCAAGTCGGCCCAGCAGGAACGGTTCTTGCATATTTATTCACCATCGTCAACAGCCTGCAGGGAGCCTTCATCTTCCTGGTGCACTGTCTCCTCAATCAGCAGGTAAAGCCAATGTCCTGTTACCTGTTCAGCTCCGTTAATGGCCAGCCAGCAGAGCTTCTTTGTTCACATTTGTCTTGGTTTCACTCTTTTCACGTCTTCTGTGCCTGTTGCTCCTTCCTCTCTTTTGACCTTCAGCCTTTCTCCCCAATCTCTTTTCTCCTGCAGCTTATATTGTGCTGTTTTCATAGAGTCACAGATTTTTTTAAGGCCAGGAGGGACCATGTCTATATAACACAGACAGCCCCTGGTGGGTGCAATCGACCTCGGGAGCTAAATGCATGAGTCTCTACTGCATGGGCTAAAAGCCACATGCTCTTAGTTAAGGCTGTAGCAGACTCATTAATCTCTAGCTGAACTAGCTGCCACTAGAGGGGGCAGAGCACCACACCTAGCAGGCAAGGGTTACATCTACACTAGAGACTTTACAGTGGCACAGCTGTACCTATGCAGTTGCGCTGCTATAAGATCTCTCCTATAGCCCCTATATGCTGATGGGAGAGAGCTCTCCTGTCGACGTAATTAAACCACCCCCAACAAGCGGCAGTAGTTCATAAGATCATAGAATCATAGAATATTAGGGTTGAAAGGGACCTCAGGAGGTCATCTAGTCCAACCCCCTGCTCAAAGCAGGACCAATCCCCAACTAAATCATCCCAGCCAGGGCTTTGTCAAGCCGGGCCTTAAAAACCTCTAAGGAAGGAGATTCCACCACCTCCCTAGGTAACCCATTCCAGTGCTTCACCACTCTCCCAGTGAAAAAGTTTTTTCCTCTTATCCAACCTAAACCTTCCTCACTACAACTTGAGACCATTACTCCTTGTTCTGTCATCTGGTACCACTGAGAACAGTCTCTATCCATCGTCTTTGGAATCCCCCTTTCACGTAGTTGAAAGCAGCTATCAAATCCCCCCTCATTCTTCTCTTCTGCAGACTAAACAATCCCAGTTCCCTCAGCCTCTCCTCATAAGTCATGTGCTCCAGCCCCCTAATCACTTTTGTGGCCCTCCACTGGACTCTTTCCAATTTTTTCACATCGTTCTTGTAGTGTGGGGCCCAAAACTGGACACAGTACTCCAGATGAGGCCTCACCAATGCCAAATAGAGTGGAATGATCACATCCCTCGATCTGCTGGCAATGTGCCTACTTACTCAGCCCAAAATGCTGTTAGCTGCCTACTTGGGAACAAGGGCAAACTTTTGACTCATATCCAACTTCTCGTCCACTGTAACCCCGAGGTCTTTTTCTGCAGAACTGCTGCCTAGCCGCTTGGTCCCTAGTCTGTAGCAGTGCATGGGATTCTTCCGTCCTAAGTGCAGGACTCTGCACTTATTCTTGTTGAACCTCATCAGATTTCTTTTGGCCCAATCCTCTAATTTGTCTAGGTCCCTCTGTGCAGTAGTCTGGGAACTGACCTTGTTCGTGAAGACAGAGGCAAAAAAAGCATTGAGTGCATTAGCTTTTTCCACATCCTCTGTCACTAGGTTGCCTCCCTCATTCAGTAAGGGGACCTCACTTTCCCTGACCTTCTTCTTGTTGCTAACATACCTGTAGAAACCCTTCTTGTTACTCTTAACATCCCTTGCTAGCTGCAACTCCAGTTGTGATTTGGTCTTCCTGATTTCCCTCCTGCATGCCTGAGCAATATTTATATACTCCTCCCTGATCATTTGTCCAAGCTTCCACTTCTTGTCAGCTTCTTTTAGTTATGTTGGTGAGAGAAGCTCTCCCGCCGACAGAGTGTTGTGCACACTGCCACTTATACCAGTGAAATTATGTCACTCAGGCGTGTGTTTTTCCACACCCCTGAGTGACATAAATGTTGTTGACCATAAGTGGTGGTGTAGACATGGCCTAACCTGTGTAACGAAGGTCATAGAAATTCCCCAGGTTAATCCTGCAGCAAGCCCATTAACATGTCGTTTGGTGGGAGCTCATCAACTTTAATTTCCTAGGCTAAATTTCTACCCAGACTTTGCAACCTGATGAAGTCAGTGATGTTGCCTGGGTGTGACTGGAGTCAGAATATGGCTCATTGCAACTAGGCGATGGATGGCCGCTCATCTCCCTTCCCTTTACGTGTTGGACTTTGCAGCAGGGAAGATGGTCACAGAAATTTCAGTTCTTTTGCTCTCTTCAGGTTTAGGACCGAGTGGTGTAAAACTGTCCGAGCTTCTCATGGGCATTGGTTACGTGAGCCAATGAGCGTGTTCCATATTTTTCTAGGTGAGAGAGGAGTACAAGAGATGGATCAGAAGGATTGAAAAAACCAGAACCAAGTCTCAGACTTCCGGGCTATCTATGTCAGCTGTCCCCACGACCACCAGAACTGTAAGTGATGCTGATCTCTTCTCCAATACCGGCCTTGGGGACACATCCATCAAACAGGGTCTAGTTTTTGCAGCCTCACTTTTATGTAGCTATCTACTGTATTGAATGGCCAAAATTGTTATAGGCCAACCCAATAATATCTACTTACTCGATATCTATCTCCATCTACTCTAGTGATAATAAACAGATGCCTGCTGTGTCTTCTGTATCTATTGGCTGTATATGAGAGGGGGTTGGCGGGACTGAGGGATCAAAGCTGGTTCTGTGGAAAAACTGGGTGATTTTTAATTTTCCTTCCGTTTGGTTATCTTTAGGCTGCTGGGTTTATACTACTGGATTGTGGTTAGTGATTGTTTAAGGACCTTGAGAATCGAATAGGTGCTCTTTTATTTTGTATAAATCAGAATAATTATAACAATAATTCCCGGTTCTCTTATAGTGCTTTTATCTGTAGATCTCAAAGCTGGTCAGTGTAATTATTCCCATTTTACATAAGGGAAACTGAGGCACATGGAGGTGGTCACCCACCAAACCGGTTGCAGAGAGGGGAATTGAACAAGCCCAGGTCTCGAGTCCCAGGCCAGTGCCCTAATCACTAGGCAACACTGTCTCCCCTTAAATATCTAGATCTATCTACTAATAAATATCTTTCTACTTTTTCCAATGATGCTTTTCTAGTGGGCCTATCGTTATAGTATATAGCTTGCTTTGTCCCCCAAGTGACTGGTGCCTTGTTGTAGTCCAGCTGAGAACAGCATTGGGAGTGTTAGCTACTGGGTATTTCTCACATTCAGGCCTGGGGGAATCCCATATGCCCATCGTTACTGTTCTGACCAGCAGAGAAATCATTTTAAATAGCAACCTCCCTCCATATTTCCTTCCTTGGGTTCTCTTTTGAGCTCTGTGGATCTCTCAGCATAGGGTGGGCAGACATTGGCTTTCGAAATATCATAACCTAAAATTACTGGATCAGGATTGGTTTCAGAGTGGTAGCCGTGTTAGTCTGTATCCGCAAAAACTATGAGGTGTACTTGTGGCACCTTAAAGACTAACACATTTATTTGGACATAAGATCAGGATTGTTTTCTGAGCAAGACTGGGACTGAATCTTCATTAGTGCAGATGGACTGGCCCCAGTGAGGAGACAACACTGCAAGGAATTTCTCCTGGTTCCTTCACCCCAGAGGGAAAGAATCCAGGAACTTTGTCTACTTCCTTGGAGAGAGAGTCCCCCTTTCAACATTAAACACTCAGGTTGCCTTCACCGTGTCATCACATCTTTGCTTTCTTTGCAGGAATGGGAAAAGTCCTCCTGAAAAAGTGGAGACCACTACTGCATGTGGGGGAAAATAAAGCCCAGCTCTATTCCCAGCACCAGAAGTCCCCTTTTTTACAAAGAAGAGGAAGCTGCTTATCTCCAATATCCTCGGATAGCTGCTGCTCTATGGCTTATCCTTGTGTGGGGTAGGGGAAGGCTGTGTTTCACGTGTTTAACTATTTTAGCACTTTGACTTCACCCAAGTGGTTGCAGGCTCCACCCTGAAGTCTTGAATGAGGGCCTGATTCTGCTCCAGTTGAAGTCAACTGGAGTTTTCCCATTGACTTGAGTGGGATTGGGAGCAGAGCGCTAAAGAATTGGCAAATCTATCCTGTTAATAAAAGGTGGGAAAAGATTTCATTTTGCTGTCCTTCCCCAAACCCAAAGGCTTGGCATTTCCCAGCCTGGGAGAACTTGGGCCAGCTTCTCATCTCAGTTTCGACTGATACAAATCCAGAATTAGTCAGTGGAGTTACTCCGGATTCACACCAGGATAGTTGCAAACAGAATCTGGTCTCTTGTGCTTCTTTCTTTCTATTGTGCTTGATTTGCAGTCGAAAACTGTGAGGTTGGCGTACCTGTTCCTGTTCAGCATTAATAGCCAGGCGAGACCCTCGATCAATATGGAACTGCTTAGCATCTGCCGAGGATTTAGCCAGTGTTGTAACGAGGCCATGTCTTTTCTCAAATTACTGCCAGCTGGATGGACATTTGTGCAGACGAACTCTGCGGGGGTGCAAAATACAGAAACAAGCCTGCGTTAGAGAGTCAAAATCCAGGCTTTTCTATCAATTGACCCAGAGTTAGTGATTAATTCCTTGGGGAGAAAACAGCTGCGCATATCTCTCTATCAGTGTTATAGAGGGTGAACAATTTATGAGTGTACCCTGTATAAGCTTTATACAGAGTAAAATGGATTTATTTGGGGTTTGGATCCCATTGGGAACTGGGTGTCTGGGTGCTGGACACAGGAGAACTTCTTAAGCTGTTTTCAGTTAAATCTGCAGCTTGTGGGGGACGTGGTTCAGACCTGGGTCTGTGTTTGTAGCAGGCTAGCATGTCTGGCGCAACAAGACAGGGTACTGAAGTCCCAAGCTTCCAGGAAAAAAGGGATCAGAGGTAGTCTGAGCACATCAGGTGGCAGTCTCAAGGGAGTCTCTGTGACCCAACCCGTCACAGGGGTATAAAGGGGTGTAGCAGATGTGGGATATTGTGGAGGAACTGTTTGTGTGGGTAGGGTTCCATGGGGAGAGGGAAATATGTGATGTTGTAGGAGGGGGTGGTGTGTGCGGTGTGGTGAAAATTGGGCCTACAAATGTACTCTTATTGTGCATTCAGCGTGAAAAGAGAGGGAAAGTTCATAAAGTCTCACAATATCCTGTGACAACAGAGTTGAGAAAGGGTGACAGACTGAATTAGTCCAAACAAAACGACCTCCTATTGTAACTCCAGGACTGTGCCTTGTTTACCAAGAATGATCTTAACCGAGCGTGAGACAGGAAATTGATGAACTAAAACGGGTGTGTTGGAAATGAAGCCTACTTGGTGGCCAAAGGAACAAGGGGATGGGCTGTTCCACCCATCGTCCCCTTTTGGGGCCCTTAAAGAAAGAGTTTGGGGAGAAAAATTTAGCTCCTGAAGCGAGCTTCACGATCGTTGCTGTTGCCCACACTGGCATCTGGGACCCCAGGCCTTCTTCGTCTTAATCCTGAGATTCCTGATCAGATCGGGTTAGAGAGAGGGACCTGGATGATGTCACCACTTCCACCAGCTGAATCCCTGACACCAGCTGAGATGTGAGACTCTCCCTTCCACCCCTCCATGTTTCCTTTTCCTTGGCCTTATTTCTTCTCTTTCTTGTATCTCTCTCTCTTCTTTTGCCTTCTGGCTAAAAGGTGTCTGGTTTAGCTGGCCAAGCTTGTATATTTAGCAACATGCTGTAAACCTGTGACCAGAAAGAGGCAGCTAAATTCAATGCCCTAAACAGCCTGATGGCACTACAAGTTTGCCAGGTCTTGGAGTGGCTGATCAGACCATGCGCTGTGCCTGTTTTTCCAGCAGTGACGTTGCGAGTGAGAGTTAACCCCAGAGACAGAAGCGGCATTTTCCATCTTCGCTGTTCTTTTCTCTCCCTTTTTGTGTGTGTTTGTCTCCTTAGGAAACAGGATTGGACTTAAACAACTGCTCCAGCCCATCTTAAGGAAGGCCTTGTCTACACTACGCGCAAATTCGGCACTGCTGCGATCGATGCAGTGGCGTTGATTTAGTGGGTCTGGTGAAGGTGCGATAAGTCAAAGTGAGAGAGCTCTCCCATCGACTTAATTCATCCACCTCAACGAGAGGTGGAAGCCACGTCAGTGGGAGATGCTCTCCCTTCGACACAGCGCGGTGAAGACACCACATTAAGTCGACTTCAGTGATGTAACTGACATAGCTTAAGTAGCGTAACTTACATAGACTTGTAGCGTTAGTGCAGGCTGGGTCTTCTTCTCTTTTCCCCCAAAAGAACCATCTTTGATACCAGCTAAGAGACGGTCAAACAAGGACTTAAGAACTCTCTCCAAGGAAAGGGAACAAGGGATACTGTTCAAATGCTAACTTTATGGAATACTTTTCATTTCAGACGCTTTAAATGTTTTTCCTTTTTCCTGTATCTCTAATAAAATGATAAGAAGGATTTTTAATGGTGTGTTTGCCATTGGTACTAAGCAGGCTGAAGTCTCTGGATACCAAACCTGGTTTAAAACTGTTTCATGTTGGACAGTGAGTGGGTTACGTTAACAGCTTTGGCCTATATAGTCCATGTAAATTAATACAATTCAGGGGGAATGGTGTAGAGTGTGAGGGAAATTCCATGGGAGTATTAAGGGGGTGCTATGTGGGAATTGTAGTGGGAGCAGGGGTGGGTTGCAGTAGAGGAAAGCTGTGGAGGATTAGATGTTTCCTGTCTGTCACTATGCTCTATTGATTCAAAGACCAAACGGGAGTATTAACATTTAGATGAACTGTGAATGTGGTAATATCATTGTCTTCATTCCTGTTTGAAGTATGTAATAAACTCTCTGTAAGTGGCGGGAGATGGACAGTTGCCTTATGCTAATTCATGTAGCTAATTACCAGTGATGCTTAGGAAATAGGAGGTAACTTCTAAAGCCACAATGCTTCCCCTATTTTTCACCTGCTATCAAGAGGCTGCTAGAGAGCTATAAAAAGGACTCTTGAGACCAGATCCTATTATCTCAGATCGGCTTAAGCTTCATCAAGGGAGGTTTGAGTTGCAACTGAGGTCCCCAGCTCCAGACTGGGTCACGTGGGTATTGGACATTGGACTATAATTTATGGAACTAATTCTGAAAGAACTTTTTGCAACTCTGAAGCTCACTATCTCTACTGTGAACTGACCTAAGAACTCAATTTATACTTGTATGTATAATGATCTTTTACTCTCTCTTTTATTTTTCAATAAATCTTAGTTTAGTTAATAAGAATTGGCTGTAAGCGTGTGTTTGGGTAAGATCTGAGATATTCATTGACCTGGGGGGTCATGTGTCCAATTCTTTGGGATTGGTAGGACTTTTTATATGATGAACAAGATTTTCAGTAATCCTCATGATATTTGACTTGGCTGTCTGGGTGGGAGCCCAAGGCTGGGTTGCTTTAAGGGAACAGTGTATTGGCTTCTGGGTAACCAGTAAGGTATTGTAGAAGCTGTTTTGTTGCTGGCTTGGTGAATCTAAGTATTAGAAATAACCACCAGTTTGGGGGATCATCTGCCCCATTCTTTGCAGTTTGCCCTGACTGAGCAATCTCAGTGTGCCCCTCCCTCCCCCCCCCCGGCACTCTGGTCACAGGCACCATGGGGCTTGTAGGGTGGGGAGTGGAGGTATGGGGGGGGGGTCATGAGGTTTGTGTGGTGGGGAGGGGGGTATTGTGGCAGTGAATACCATGGGAGGCAGTTGTAGCAATGGGGTGTTGCTGGAGATGGCTGTCCTGTGGGGATGTGGTAAGAGAGAGTGGGGGTTATTGTGGGATGGGTGTTCCATGGGTGTAATTCTGGGGTGTCATGGAGGAGGGGGAGTGCAGGATCATGTCCCTCATATAGGTCATCAGAGATTTCTACTGAGCCTTGTGCATAGGGGAGTCTAATGGGGAGCCTATGGCTCCCCTGCCACTACAGAACCAAGCCACTCACACACACTGTGGGCCAGTGGTTCTCAAACTAGGGCACCCCTTGTTCAGGTAAGCGGTGGCCAATACGTCCCTCAGCCTGCGCCGCTTTCCGCAACCCCCATTGGCCTGGAGCAGTGAACCACAGCCACTGGGAGCTGCGATCGGCCGAACCTACGGATGCGGCAAGTAAACAAAGCAGCCCGGCCCACCAGGGGCTTTCCCTGAACAAGCGGCGGCCCTAGTTTGAGGAACCACTTCTGGAGGCATTGCACTAGTGCCCAAGGAGGATGTCTAAACAGAAGCTACTAAAATTAGGCATTTCTAAATAAGCAGGTCTAGATAACTTGCATACGAGAGTTTTAAAAGAGCTGGCCGAGGAGCTCACTGGACTGTTAATGTTGATTTTTTTCAAAAAATCTTGGACATTGGGGAACTTCCAGAAGACTGGAAAAAAGCTAAAGTTGTGCCAATTTTTAAAAAGGGTAAACGGGATCACCTGGGTAATTATAGGCCTATCCGCTTGCCCTCAGTCTGGGGCAAGATAATGGAGTTGCTTATATGGGACTCAATTAATAATGCATTCAGAGGGCAATGTAATTAATAAAAATCAATATGGATGGATGGAAAATAGATCCTGTCAAACTAACTTGGTATCTTTTTTTGGTGAGATTACAAGGTAATAGTGCTGATGTAATGTACTTAGATGTCGGTGAGGCATTTGACTTGGTGCCACAGGAGATTTTAATTTAAAAAAACCTAGAATGATATAAAATGAACATGGCACACATTAAATAGATTAAAATCTGGCTAACTGATCAGTCTGAAAAT